GACGTCTTTGAATTTGTGTTTGAATGCTGCGCTCGTCTCAGGTCTTTATAGCAGCTTGTCGCGCATAATACATAATTCTAAAACACGGCACTCAAGTTCAAAGAAATTCAGCTTCTAAAAACACGTCTCTAGACCTTGCGGTTTAAAAAAAGAAATAAAAAAACTGACTGACCTGTCTCCCGACCAAAACACTATCTGTGTGAACCCAGTATTCTAATAGTAGCGGGCAGGTTTGTTTATGGTCCATCAAATACGTGAATGGGCCACATGTTTTTTTTTTTTTTACTTTGTGCTATGTCATCGCCCCCTTTCGCTATCTCAGCCACCCCCTCATCAGTGCTGCGCTGGCTCTGATTCCGGCCCACATACTGTGAAGAATGATGGCACTTGGGCGGTCTGCTCCTGTTTGTCAAATTTGGGCCACAAGCAAGCCATAGGTAGGCCGCATGTCAGCCATGAAAATAAATAAATAAAATAAACCAGAACTGGCCCAAATCTGGGCCACATTTATTTTAATTCTGGCCCAGATCCGGCACCTTGCTCCGGCCCACATACTGCGTGGAACAATGGCATTTGGGCAGTCCGGTTCTGTTTGCCAGATTTGGGCCTCAAGTAAGCCTTAGCATTGCTGCATGTAAGCCACCAATTAAACCAAAACTGGCCCTAATGTGGGCCACAGTTGATTTTTATTCTAACCCTGGTCTTCCCCACATTCCTCATGTGGCCCACATGCTGCATGGAATGGTGGCATTTTGGCAATGGTCCACAAGCAGGCCACTACACAGCCAAATTTTAGCTAATAATGAACCAAATAAACCATAAATATACATTATCTGGGCCACGCCCAAATCTGGGCCACATTTATTTTAATTCTGGCCCAGATCCAGCACCTTGCTCTGGCCCACATACTGCGTGGAATAATGGCATTTGGCCAGACCGGTTCGGTTTGCCAGATTTGGGCCTCAAGTAAGCCTTAGCATTGTCACATGTAAGCCAGCCAAATAAACCAAAAGTGGCCCTAATGTGGCCACTGCACAGCCACATTTTAGCTAATAATGAGCCAAATAAAGCATAAATATACATTATCTGGGCCACACTAAGCCTTAAGTGAGTTATGCATCAACAATACTCAACATTGTAAAGAGACATTTAAAAATGTCCTCCATAAATGTTCAAATAAGTTCCAGAAATGTGTCCTACTTGATAAAATCATCCCGACCCAAGTTTTGCACAAGCAGCAGTTAAAATGTCACAGATATTCAGACACATTCCAACACTTTAAAAACTGGTCTTCACAAGTTTGAACTTAAATGCTTCTCACTCAAGACTCTACCTACACAATAAGTCTGTGAGTTTCATAGCTACGCCGTGTTAAAGAGCGCACGACGAAGATGAAAGGTTATATATCATAAGTCTTTAATCCAACAAGGGTAAATCCAAAAACAATGCAGCACAGCAATATTTCAGACATGTAGACGTAAGACCAGACAAACTCAAAGTGACCATACAGGAACTTAAGTACTCAGACCAAACAAGGATAATTAACTAGGCACACCTGAACAGAATCAACACATCAAGGGAAACGGTGCAAAAGGAAAACAAAGTACAAATTAACAGAATCCGTGACAGTAAGAGTACAATCATTATAGTGCACTCCTGTTTTTATGCTGCACAGTACATATATAAAAAACCTGCCATTAAAAGCATGTTTCAAAAAATAAATTGCTGCATATGTAGCCTTCTTAAGACTCACATCCTGATCACCCTGCATCAGCTAACTGTGTTGCATCCTACTAAAAGTAGCCAAATTCTATTAGGCCATATTTACAATTTCAAGCTTCCATTCCAATTGGCCAGTGTCAAGTTTTACATCCAAGAAGTGGCCTCACTTGTCAAGTGTTACAAACAGAAGTGGTCTTCATCTGTTTTATAACATATGGGGCATATTTGCCATGTCAAATGTGGGACAAGTTGGCTTACACACTGATTAGCCAATGCTGACTGTGCCGTATATTTGCCAAAAGTGGCCCAAATTGTTATTAATTATTTGGGCAATATTTATCATTTTATATGCGGGCCACATTAACGGATTCACATAAGGGCCACTTTAAGCTCACAGCCACATTAGCCAGGGCTCACTGTGCCATATCTTTGCCAAAACTGGCCCAGATACAGTTTAGGATAACTGTGCCACATTTGTGGCATCATATGAGAGCCACTTTAGGCTCACAGCCACATTAGCCAGTGCTTACCGTGCC